ATAATTCATTGTTAATATTGTTTTCATTGACTGAAAACATTAGACAATAGAAGAATAGTTGACGAATTATGATAACAGACAAGATATGAATTTAATGGATAATAACATTTATAGGTTAATCTGTTATTTTTCTCTCCTCTTTTTATTCTCACTCGCGTCAGAAAACAAATTTTTTTGTCTTATCATAGAAATGATTTTTTTTTACAAAAAATAATTTTCTCCTGGACTGGAAAATCTAAACTTATTTTAGAAAAGAATTGAAGAAATTTAATGAAAATCAGTTATCAAATTGTAATTTTAAATGATTTGTATTTTAGTAAGAATTATTTTTATTTAAGATAACATGATTAATGAATAAGTATATTGATACCCTATTGAAGGTACTCATCTAGTAATTATTAGAAAGTATTCTTAAAAGGAAAACACTGAGAGAATTTATAATTATTCTTGATTTATAAATACACATTGTTTATATCTTTGTAAAGTTTTAAATATCTAAGTATATAATCAAATATCTAAAATAAAAGATATTCAATAAATGTGTACTAGAAATATTTACTCAATAATAACCATTTTAATAGTTTTCCAGTAAAATTTCTTTCCAATATAATGGCTATAATAAGATTCATAATATCCAGGGTTGGCATATGTACCCCATTTGGATTTTCGAGCTTCTGCTTTCATGAGCTGATTTTGGTCAAAGTGAATCATGTTTTTCAAAAGAACTTCTTGTTTTGTTTATCGAGGTACTTGCAATGGGCAATACTGTCATGAAAGATTGACTAAAGATGATTGGCATACATTGTATCCTATTAGTTTTTTCTTAGGTTTCTCTGTTTTTCGATGAAAATAAAGGTAGCTATGGATATGTGACAAATCTAAGCTGTATGAGTCAAAAGAATCGAATCATGAAAACTGCTGAACACCATATTCACGAACTGAATGTGTTGATCGCTTCTTTTTGTATGAATTTTGCACAGTGATCGGTTCTTTTTCCATCCATTAGTTAGATGATCATTGCTGTTCCCATAAAAAAGATCGTTAAACAACTTATTCTATCGCTTTACGGATCTCTTCAACTTCCATCTGGCTCAATGTATGTAGTTTAACTTATGTAATCTGAAAAAGACCTGTGAAAACTACCTTCTAGAATAAATTGAGTTATGAAATAAACCCAGTTCGGGTGGGTGTGGGTGTGAACAGGTGTGGGCGTTGCCTTGGATGATGCAAGAGAAACATCACGCCCACACCCACCTCACACCCGCATACCCACATCCACACCCATACCCACACCCCGCTTACGCCTACACCCACACACCCACACCCGGCTCTTCGGTGTTTGCTCTTTTATTTGTTTAAGGATCACTAGTGTCTATAGAAAAATGACGAAACTCATAACTCTGAAGTATGGTAAATTAAGACCATATGGCGCCATCAGTACAGTGCAAGTTATCGAAATTCCATTCAAAATTTAGAGAGACCCATATATATTGTCTGTCAATATTCTTTTTGTTTGAAAGACACTATAAAAACAGAACTAATAAAAAAGATTTCCTTTTGAAACTTGCAGAGACTACAAGTATATAACACATTATCAATAGGCAGCTTTTGGTTTTATTAATTTTTTTACGAAAAATGATTGAATATGATCATAATCATTATTAGTTTTATTTTTACTTAATATTCCTATCGGATTGTTGTCACTAGTGTTTTAGTAAAGATTTACCTGGGGCACAAGTTCTATACAAAAACATAAAAATAATGTGAGTAAGATTTCTACTTCAGGTTTGGTGGAAATAGAATTAAGAATCAATAAAGAAAAGAAGATGATTTCGAAAGAAACACCGTAATGGTTTTTTTAGACACTGAGAAAAGCATAGACTTGTGTAATTCAATTTCTATACGGTCATTTAAGACGACTAGCGTAGATGAAATTATGAGAGATAAAACTTTGAGCAACATCAATTGAAAGTCTAGCAACCTTATGTTCTTTTCACTTGAATTGTTCAACACTTAGGCATACAGTTTTCTGTGCTGACTTTCGGAACACCGTATTTTGTGTCATCCACCGCCAAGAATATTTCTCAATAAAGAGTAAATTGAAGTTTAAGTGAAGTTCAGACAAAGTGTAGCTTCGGTCGTTATTGATACATATCGTATTTCATGGAGATCAACTGTGAGAAGTTCAGCATGAAAGTTATACTGACTCAGTAGTTCTCCTAACAGAAAATAACTTCTAATGACTGGAATGATCTCATTTGACATATAGCGATCGGCAGCTATCCATTTTAACTTTCAATGTTGGAAACAAATTGCCATTCTTTTTCTTTGTTTTCTTCGTTATATTTCTATGATGTGGTGATCTCAACTCGCTGATTGATAAGGCTATAGTCAACACTGATTTATACAAGTCACGCTCAATTCTAAGGATCTTGCATGGAACTGTCTTCAGAATGTAGTGATTGAAAGTTGTGTACGTGTTCTTTATTGACAACATCCTATGTTTTCATTATTGTTTCTTACTCTGTACAGCATTTTCTCAAAAACTTGATTGTATGATTGCCTTAGAGCCGCATAGAAGCATTAATAAGACTCAGTGATTCATTTGCATTTCATCTGAGTATTAACTTTGTGCCGTATATTTTTGCAAGTAGGAAAAAATTAACTACTATCGATCTACAAAATAGTGCGTTGGTGAGTTTTTTAATGGACTGTTTTACGCACGAGAAGACAGCTACTCGAGTATACCGTGTGCAAATACATTCTCTTTACGAGAGAAAGACGAAGAGAAAGAATACTTATCGATTAATCTGCTATTGGGTGCCTGTGGACGACTAATGAGATCTAAAGAACATACTGTACTTTCGTTAAAGACTAATAAATAAAGAAATGTGAAGTATTTGCTTTCTTCTTTTAGAAATAGAAATCAGTTAGGGTGTGGGTGTGGCTCTCGGTGTAAGTAAAAAGGAAAACGACACCCACACCCTCTTATTCATGAATATGAGTTTAGCAATCTGAAAAGTTCTTGCAATGAAAGTATACTCTAGTGCATAGAAAAAATTCGTTGGTGTGAGTATTATTTTTTTTTGAATAATTCGGGAACAAAGTGAAATAGAAAGCTACAGTTTTCACCATTATGTGGACCTTCGATTACTCTATCAATCCATGATAGACGATAAGAAACATAAGCTTTTCAGATTATGTTAATTATTGAGCTTTGAAAGATGTGAACCTAGTTACCTTAAGTTTTATAGTGACTGATCAGTTTTAAATATGTAAAAGATAATCCAGAGAATTCTCTAATACATGGCGAAAGACCGACCTCTGTACTTGTTATGGTTCAACAATGTTACACATTCTCTTAGAGCCTATAAAAGCGTTTTTTTTTCTCAATAAGATGGACTGCAAATATGCATACCAAAGTTCGTTGTTGACCGTTTTTGAACTATAAGAATCACTACCTTTGGTCTCGAACAACTTTCGTAATGGAAGATAAAGATCTAGACTTTGCAGAAAGAGTATGAATTCTAAGTATGTGATTAAAATGAAATAGAAAGTGTAATTTTATGACCAAAATATTACAATATATCACTTGTTGATATAAACAAATATTTACTTTTTTATAAACTACTAAGATCTGAAGTATGCATGGATACTTTTCTATTGCAATTTGCTCGACTCTTTGACAATCTGTTCAAAATGTTCTCTCCCTTTTCTTTGTTACTAGGGAACCATAAACATCGGTTTTTAAAGCTATGTTGTCTTAGTCCGTTATAAAACATATACCTGCATTATGAATTGTGAATTCTTTCTCACGACTCATATCTCTAACAATACAAATATTGTTACAGTTTTTCAGTATTTTACCGAATGATGATCGAGGAAATGAAAATACTTGGTTAGATGATGATTTTGAAATGAAATGCCTATTATAACAATTCTTTATCTTCTATACATTCCATGCGACTTTTGTTCTCCCATTTTTCATCGGATATCTTGTCCATTCATCCATAACATAGAACATCTAAATAGACTCAATTCTGCCTGTTGCATATGAATCGTGTGCTTTTGTTCAGAATAGCCGACTACATGCTAGAAAATGAGAAATGTTGATTGTGGTAAAAATAATACTTTATTATCTATCAGGTATATTGAGTCATATCTCTCTAAAACAAACAATCATCAAATATTAAATAATTACACATTCATCTTCATATGTAAAGGTTTAATGAGAATATTTTAAAATAACCATATATGGATGCATAGTTACGATAAATATACTTTATTTCATTGTAGAAATAATTATTTTTAGCATCGACCAATCTGTCGATTATAATATTATTTTTTTATAAGGAAAATAACGTTACCATATGATAATATTCTTAAAGCATACACGAACGTTTTTATTTTCTTGATGTGTGTGTCTTAATATGATAAGCGCAAATATTTATAACATTCAATCTAAATAGTTTGTGCCTGACTTAGATAGGTAAAATGCCCACGCTTAAGTGACTATTGAATTCATAGAAAAGAGCAAGTGTAAATTTTGAGTAGCTATGAAAAAAAAACACAGATCGATAATAAAAAAAAAAGCATGCATGTCAATAGTGACATTCACTTATGATAATAAAAAAAAACCAGCTGAAACGTGATATTAAACACTTTAATGTCATATGGTAAAATAATCAATCACCATTTTTTGATCGTATGGTTTGATTGGAATATATGATTATTCTAGTGAGTAATACTCAACTTGAAAATTGATCGTAATAGTTTGCACAGTCGTTCAAGAGAAGAGAAGATTGATCATGTTTAGGAAGAATTATGCTTGTTTTTTAATTTTACATATCGAATATTGAAACTAGTATTTTATTATATTCATGGTATCGATTCTCTAATCAAAATTGAAATAAGACTTTTGATTTTTCTACAAGCAAGAATTCATCGATTGATATTTTTCAGATACTTTTTTTTAAAAATTTTATAAGATAATTACGAGAATGCGTGAATACAAAATAGTCATACTCGGTAGTGGTGGTGTTGGTAAATCAGCATTGACTGTACAATTTGTTCAAGGATTATTTGTTGAAAGATATGATCCAACGGTTAGTTGTATTAATAAAAAAATTTTTAAATATATATTTTTTTATTGTCAATAGATTGAAGATAGTTATCGAAAACAGGTAGAAGTCGATGGACAACAATGTATGCTGTAAGTTTGAATTTAAAAAACAATAGAAAGTATTTTAGATTTTCTTTTCTTTTAGTGAAATTTTGGATACTGCTGGAACAGTAAGTAATTTGAAAATTTTATTCTCTTGGTCTTTTGAAAAAAACATTTGAAGAAGTTTGAGATTTTTCTATGACTTTTTTTTAGAATAATCTACAGGTATTACGCTTATTGATCAATAAAAATATAATCTAATCACGAATTATTTTGATTGTTTTTTTTTTCTGTCTCTAATCTGACATTTAAACACATATTGATTATACATACGTAATAGTTTCTATCGTTGCGCATCGATCATGTTACAAAATAGATATCTAAAATTATAGTCATAATAAACTATTTAATTTATTGTTTGTTTTTTTTTGTTTTTTGATAATGATAATTACAAAAGGTAAAGTTGCTAAATATCAAAAAGCAAAAGATCTTAGTTACAATATTTCAAAATGCATTCAAAAATAATGAATAAGATATCTTTTTCTCCTTTCACAATTGCAGACTTCAATAAGGAGGAGTTTTTGATATCCATGCATTATAATATCAGAAGATGAAACATCTCCAAAATAAATATTATCATTAAAAATGATTTTATCGAACTAGTTAGTTAACTTCGTATATTGTTAAACATTTTTCAGGAACAATTTACTGCTATGCGAGATTTGTATATGAAAAATGGTCAAGGATTTGTACTTGTATATTCAATAACTTCTCAATCGACATATAATGATCTTATTGATTTACGTGATATAATTCTTCAAGTAAAAGATACAATTGATGTAAGAAAAATTTTATTTTTTTTATTTAGAGTATTTTTATATTTTTTTTTTGAATATTTAATATAGGTACCAATGGTATTAGTAGGAAATAAATGTGATCTTGAAGATGAACGTGTAATTGAAAAAGAAGTTGGTCAAACATTAGCACGTCATTGTAATGCAACATTTCTTGAAACATCTGCTAAACAAAAAATAAATGTTAATGAGGTTCGACATTTCTTTCTTTGTATATAATTCATACAATCACTAAAATAATTAATTTTGATACTATTATTTAGATATTTTTTGATCTTGTCCGTCAAATAAATAAACGAACAACAGTAAATAAAGGTAGAAAAATTATAAATAAAAATTCTGGTCAAACTATAAATTCAAATCTATCAGCTTTAAGTAGAAAAAATGATGTTGATAATTTACCAACAAATTCATCGAATCGACCAACTGTTTCAAATAAACAAGGTTGTTGCACAATTTTATAAAATTCCAAATATATATATATATATATACAATGACTACCAAAATTATCCAACAAGCAACTAGAATTTTTTTTCTCAGTTTATATCTCCTACAACGCTTGTTTCGTTCTTCGGCTTCTCTTTCGCAAATATGTTCGATAGGATTTAAGTCTGGAGAAAACGAAGGCCATTTATTTTGAGTCATTATCATGTTGTATGACCCATTTACTACTCAAATTCAATTTTTTCACAGACTCAAACAAATTTTTTTGCAAAATATTACGATAAATTTCTCCTGTCATATTTCCGTCTATGAATACAAGATTTTCTACACCAGGAGATGAGAAATAACCCCAATATTTTACATTTCCTTCGGCGTTCACCACATCATAACTTTTCCGTCTGATTCAAACAAGTTAAATTTACTTTCTCCAGACCATAAGACTTGATCCCAATAACTGAGAGGCTTTTCAGGATACATTTTAAAATACTCAAGGCGTTTGCTACAGTTGGCTTTATCAACGTATGGTTTCTTTTGAGCATCATGACCCTTAAATCCGACTTCGTGTAGTCGACGACGCATTGTTTGCTCAGAAATGATTACTCCCAATTGAGTTTCAATCGGATGGCGTTGATTTTTGCCGATCCACTTTTATTTTTCACTGTATAACTCGATCAAGGTGTAGTGAGGTGTTACGTTTGCGACGTCGACCTATAATATTTCCTATACATCGCCGTTTATAGAATGTTTTATAATAGTTTCTCGTAGATCAAAAGAATATTCCTTCTTCTTGGGTGCTATTGTAAGTAAAATAAACTAAGCAGCCGACGTTAATATTTATCAATGCGGTGAAACATAAGTTATTACTATAGGTGGTACTAGGAGTTATTCGCGAACTGGTAAAGAAAATCGTTTATCAATGCTTGATCGTTTTCTATCTTTCGAAATTATTTGTCGGATAATTTTCGTAGCCATTGTATATATATTTGCCGCTTTACTTTTCCTATGCCAATTCTATGTTCCAGTCATTCAGTTTTTTTTCTTTATTCTTAAATTTGTTATTATTCTTTTGTTGATGTTCGTTTTATTTTCTGTCTGAACAAAACAGGAAAGTTTTTTTAGATTTGATTTGTTCTATACACATGAGAAATATCAGTTATGTATATGTTCGAAAAATAAATCGCTCAAAATGAGATATTAAATTTATTCTTTTTGTTTATTTTGTATAAATCTAAAATTATTTTTTTTTTCGAATTTGGTTATTTTTGTGCTCTTTATTTTATTTGTATGTAGAGAAAATCAAAAGATAAACGATAAATAAAAATAAAATGAGCTTTAGTTGATTTGAATTTCCAAGTGGGCATATACGTATTCCAATTCTTTGAATTGGTGCATCCCTAGATACAGTTGTTTGTTGAAGTTGCTGTTTTTTTTTTGAAAAATTAAGTTATCTAACAAAACATTCTAGACTGAAAAGACAGTGGAATCAACATTAAAGAAAGCAGTTTTAAAATTAAAACAAAAAATTCCTATTGCATTCGTACATGTTAATTTCTGATGGTTATATTCGGAACCAGCATGGTCGATACACTAGTTTTCAATGAAAAAGCGATTGATCAATTAAAAACTTCTGGGCAGATACTCAGATTGTCCTTGTTCAAGTCAAGATTGCAACGTTGTTTTATTTGGAATATTTCAAACTTTTATTTATTTTTGAAGTAATCACTAATTAATGAGAGTAATGGTTGATGTTTTTTTTTTTGAATCAGTAGCTTTTAGTTACCAGAGAGCTTTGTTAAACATTGAAATTGCATTTTAACAGCCGTGATGGATATCTCTTGGCGACTTTGCCAATTTCAAAATTTTAATTCTTTTTTTGCAAGCATTTATTATAGAGACTTTCGAAAAGACTTCTTTATTACTTCTATTCGCAAGAGAATGATGATTGTCGTACTATTAAATCCGGGTGTGGATGTGTTAATCGCAGTAGTTCCCATAGCCATAGTCACACCCACACTCTTAATGATTAATTAAAACTGACCTCAGATTTGGATTCCTCGCCCATAATTATCTTTGGTCAAGTTTTTTAGAAAACATTAATAATTAATAATTAATTAGTTAAAACTGACCTCGGATTTGGATTCTCCACCTTCAATTGTCTTTGGTCAAGTTTTTAAGATAATTATCGCTTTTCCTCTTGGATTGATCTTCGGCCAATCAGTGAAGTGCGGACACACAAGCAAGCAGACAATTTATGTTTACTAGACTCTTCTCTACGAGAAAAAGAATAAAGTACTCATAGCAGCAAAAAATTGCCTTTCTTGAGTATTTTTCTTAAGATTCTCGTGACCAGCAGAAGAAAGACAAGTCCATGCATTCATTTTGATTGTGTACCTAAATTTTTGACAGACTTTGCATTTAATTGGACATTCCCAATAGAAACTATTAGCATTCTGAAGGTGAAATACTTTTTGGATGTTGGCGTTTTTTTTTTTCTTCATATATCCATAGCTAAACCTAGGCTTATGTTTTTATATCGTTGATGTAACGCGGGAGACATTTTCTAAACAAAAACAAAAACTGTCTTAAAAAGAAGTATGGTATTGCCTGAACTCAAATGTATGGATGATGTCTGTGAGAGGCTTCTTGTAAAAGATCTAATGCTACTTTATTTTCATTTTCAATGAATAAGTAATAAGCAATTGAAATCTGAATATTAGACTAATAGAAAAGACATTATTTAGAAAGACAAATTCATGAGATCCTTTGAATATTGTCAAAGTTAAACAAAATGAAAAACAAGAAATCTTGAAAAACGTCAGCAAGTTGATCTTTTTTATTTTCAAGCACAAAATAGTAACAGGCAAACTTTATGTTGTTTTAATTCTATTTGAAAAATCTGAATCATATTTTTTACTGCAATGAAACATTCTGATGATGAGGATGATCTAGTTATCACATGAAGAACGGTCGGCTGCAATTCTAAAAGTTTCAGAGAAGATTACGTTACGATGAAGCATTCTATAATACTATTTTCAAGGCAAACAATGAATTCTAACCGAAGATTCGCGCCAAATAATGGTAGACTTGTCAAATACTAGTTTAGTGGCTAGAAAGAGAATGATTCATAACTTAAAGAAGACAAGTGCATTTATGATAAAAATATTACTAGACAGAGAAGAAACATCCAACTTTTCAACGGTGGGTCGAACGGCATTTGACATATTTTCTAGCTTGACATAACATCACAAAAAAAATCTTGATATTGTTCTTTTATCTCAGTTTAGCTAAAGCTTCTGTTTAATAGTTTTTGCTTCGCTGCACGACAATTTTTATTCATTGAGTTTTGAAACAATGGAATCAATTCATTTGTTTCATAAGGATTATCTCAAACAAGCCAATATATTTGATGATATCCTTTAGTAAAATAATGATGTAGGTGTGGGGAAAGACCAATGTGTATGTTGTGTACCATCACCTATCATCAATCTCACGTACCAAGCATCATTAAGATTCTCCTGTCTAGCTTCTTTAATCGGTTTAATTTCAACAGCGTGATATCCATACGAAAGTAGCAAATTAACCAATGAGAAGAACAATTCAAACTCATGAAATGAATCATTATTTACTAGTTGAAAAAGCATGTCTCGAGAATGAATATGAGTGGATGTGGGTCTTCTCTTCATCTACATCCACACCCACATTTGGTAATAGGATAATCTTGATACAAAATCGAGCAGTAAAAACATTGGTACTGGAGAAGTGTTCATAGCATAGCTCATGAAGACTTACCCATTTTTTTTATAGGATCCGTCTTTCGTGAAAAAAAAACATTGATTGTCTAATGAGACCGAAGTGCATATCATTACTTTGTGTACGATACGACGTTCAATACGAGGAGAATGAAGAGGATGGGGTAGATGTGGGTTAGATGGAAGAGAAGATCCGCACTCACACAGCCATATCCATCCACACCTATACCCTTCAAATGTTTTTATATTGGAATAAACAAAATTATTATTCACAAAATTAATAACCCTATTCAGAAACTTTATCAAGAAATGAAAGTACAATAATGAATAATATTTCATTTTTCTAGAGACCAATGGTGGTGCGACTAAACCCCTCCCCATAATAGAAGCCCATCCCATATTAGAAGCCCCCCCCCCCGTATTAGAAGCCCCCTCTGGAGGATTCGATATGCCAGACATATTAGAAGCCCCCTTATTTTAAAAACTTTTTGAGAGTTTTTTGAAAACATTTTTTAGTATTTTCACAGCAAAACTTAAAAGATTACAAAATTTTAAGGTAAAAATGCGTTAAATTCTTAGTTAACCGTATTAAAATCTCAAAAACTCCTTCAAAACCCGCAAAAATCTGTAAAAAACCCTGAAAATCCTATTAAGGCTTTTGAAAAACTTTAGTACCTAAAATCTTCGAAAAATTATAGGACATAATAGAAGCCCCCTCCAAAAAATTTGTATGCTGGATACTTTAGAAGCCGAGGGGAGCTTCTAATATGGGGGGGGGGGGGGGGGGGGAGGAGAGTAGTGTTGAGGATGTAACACCATCTCTCTCTAATGATCGGGATATTTTTCTTGATTAAGAAGACAAAAGATACTATGGACATACGGATTATTTTGTTACTCATTTGTAATTTTATCATACTTGCTTTGAGTGTGTATATGCAATAAAGTATAGTTTCGTCATTAAGTTGATATCAGATAAAATCAAGTGATGCCATCTGTTGATTTTTGATTATAATCCATGTATTTTTCATTTCAAATTGCTGATATCAAATAGCAACCTACTGAATCAGTACGTTGGTAAACATCGTAAAAATAATCATTCTGCATAGAAGTAAACAAAAATAACTTCAATAGTTACTCATTTAAAAAAAAGGAAAGATAACGACATGTAGATAAAGTAAGACTACAAATACGAAAGAAGATTAAAAAAAATCTCTTTCATATTTTTTAGTTTTCGTAATAATATTCTTCACAAGTAAAAGTAGAAGAGATCTTAGTTGATTATTATAACGAACAATCATGAGTGTATCATCGACAACGACGACGGCATTTTCTGAACAACGTCTTGTAGAATTTAAACGTATTGTCGAAGGTTATTTACTATCAATAGTATGTATATGTGGTTTATTAGGTAATGTATTAACATGTGTCATATTATCCAGTCGAATTATGCGTAAATCAACAACAAATATTTATATATTTGCATTATCATGTGTATCATCATGTATTTTAATTGGTTTTTTATTAACACATGGAATACGATTAACTTTTCATGCTGAAACATTTTATCGACATATATTTACAAGAGTTTTTCCTATACATGTAACATGTTTATTAATACAAATATATTTAACAGTAATAGTTGTTCTTGATCGATGTATTCTTATATGTTCACCATTTCGAGATCAAAAACGACGTAGTCCACGACATGCAGTATTTATTGTTTTATGTGTTTCGTTGTTTTGTATATTATATTGTATACCATTTTGGTTTGAATTTACTCTTATTAAAAAAGATAATACACGAGTTATATCTGTATCAGATATTGGAGCACATCCATTATTTCGCACATTAATGCGTAAATATCTTTATTTTGTTTTTGTTTTTATTATTCCATTGTCAACAATAATAATATGTAAAACAATGATTATTAAAAAATTATACACTGTACGTCGACGTAAACGTTTATTGGGTAATTTAAAAAAACAAAATCGATCATCAAATGCTATTAATTTCTTAGTATTATCAATTGTATTTGTATTTCTTGTTACACAATTTCCTTATTTTATATTTAATGTGCTTTATTCATGGTTTGGTCAAAGTTTAATGGCTGGTTTACGTGCAAGGCAATATTTAGCTATTAATAATCTTTTATCTGTTATAAATGCATCATCAACATTTATTCTTTATGCTTTTTTCGATCGAAAATTTCGACAAATTGGTCAACATTTTTTGTTTTGTCGACCATTACCAGCTGGTTTCGATGCTCAAAATCGTGTAACACGAATGATGTTATTAAATCGTCATGCAAGTACCTTCGTACATCATACAAAATCATGTCCTGCATCAATAAATTTAATATAAAATCATCGATATTCAGTTATTATAAATATTAATATAGAAGATTTAATAGAACAACAATTAATTGAAAGACCATTAAAATTAACAAAAAGTGTTTCGCTTTTTGAAAATCGAAGAGTCATGTGTCGACATTCAAATAATTGTTAATTATAAGTTATAATTATATTTCTTTTTCTCTTATGTTCAGATTACTGTTTGCCTTGCTTTTGTTGTTCTTTTGTGATTATAAACATCAATTCAATATCGAGTGTCAATTAAGGATTACACATTTATTTAAAAAAAGCAAAAAAGAAACACTTTTATTTTATGTCAAACTGAAATATGTTGACAACAAAATTATTAATGAACATGAAATGTAAAGTATAACGAATGATAAACACTTGACTACGTATAAATTTAATCTTTCAATAATAAATAAATAGGATATATATATATATTTCTATTGAAGAATGGAAAAATTCATTATCCTAAAACTTTTAACTAATATGAAAAAGAAAAGTATCATCTATTTAGTATAACTTTTTCTTCAGTTGGTTAATTAAAAAAAACCAAACATCAGAACCCCGATGTCAATTGCAATATTCATATCCGTATAGAAAATTTATGCGTAAATACTTCTGTTTGAATTTTGATCAAAGATCCCAAAACAGCGCTATTGACTTATGTATGATATATTTCTAAGAATAATGAATGTACTATATGATTTTTCTGTTATCATTATTGTTATGCTAATAAACATTAGAAAATTTCATTGCTGACCTTTTGCAAGAAAGAACATTTATTCTGTCCATCATTGATCAATGAGAAAATAATGGAAATATCGATAGTATTCTTTAGTTATTTCTGTGATGAAAATTATGCTAATATAACAGATGGAACTTATTTGTTTTAAGATTATAAAACTGACAGGATTTAGATGCATAATCCATAGAAAGCTGTCGTCGTATTTTATAAATAATCAATACAAAGCATTGTTTTTATATTCAATTAATAGATGTTTAGTGATTGTAAATATATTCAAATATACAATATTTGCCTATACCGTCAATATAGATAATTTTTTTTTGATTTGTTCCACTGTAAAAAATGTTTTCTCTGACAAAATTCTAGAATTAGGACATTTTCTAAATGAAGTTAGAAATAAGATACGAAGTTCATATGTATTATACTAAATTTCTAAAAATATTTTTCTTCTTATATAACTTGCATTGAATGTAAAAAGAAAACTATCAATATGTATTACTCACTTAATCATGTTTAGAATAAATAAAAATGTTCGTTATTTCATTTACAATATTTATATTTTTTAACCATAACAGCTTGAAAAAAAATGTTAACCCTTCATAAAGTTCAAACAGTCGCATCATTCTTGCTAAAGATTTTTTCATATTTTATAAGATGCATATCTATGCTTTCAAACAAGGTTCAAATAAATACTATTTGTATGGATATGTATATATAGATGTGTGTTCTGACGATTATTGATAAAACAATTATGTATTTCTACCGCATTTTGAGCAAATAGTGTAGACTTTTTCGAACCATAAAAACAAAGTCCAACTTTTTATTTATAAATTAGGAGCTTTTTGACACGATTAAATTCCAGCATAGTCTGCTTCAATACAGAAGTTCGCTGTTTCTTCTAGTGATGTTATAGAGCTTGTTCCGTTGATTATTTCGAAAATAGGTTTTTCATTTTCATTAACAAATAGGATTTGTCAGAGTTAAATCGTTGTCAAGTTCTGTCGATGTAAAGAAAAAAGCATGAAAAAACACTATGAAGTATTTGTAATTATTTTTTATTTTAAACAGGAAATAGTACTTATAAGTGAACCTTTTTAAATAATTATTTCTCATACTTTTTGTCTAGAACGTACCTGAGAGTCTAAAAAAAGTACTACAATTCATTAGGAAAAGTGAAAAATAGTAAAAGAATCCAAATTATTTTACTGTATTAATATTAAATATTCCGTGGTAGTTTTTTTTTTACACTTAACTTTTTACATAGGTAAAATAAATTAAACTTTTTAGAATTATTTTTCACATGTCCGAGTGAATTGTAATATTTTCTCAAACTTTCCACAGTGCTTAATAAAACTTTTTAAACAAAAATTTTGAAAAATACTTGAAAAGATTCACTTCTATGTACTATTTCCTGTTTAAAAAAGAGAGTGTGAGTATGAGTGTCGATGGTGCAGGTGTGAGTGTGAGTGCAGATCTTCTCTTTCACCTAACCCACATCCTAAACATAATGAATGATATGTCAGTCGTCGATCATCTGCCATTAGGATTCGAAAAAATTTTCTAGAACTGATAGTTTTTTTTTTTTCTGTTTTAAATTATTTGATGTACAAAGTCTAGATTGTGAATTATAGCATTATTCTATATGTCATATAGTAATATATATTTTATACAATAAAATAAAACTCAATGTCTTCTGAATGAACAAAATTATTTCCTAAATTTGATAACATTATCAATCTATCAGATGAATCAAATAAAAAAAAAATGAACATAATTCTTTACTTTAACTCAATAACGCATAAATACGTAATATATTTTTTTTTTTATTTGAAATAAAATATGTGATCTTTCATATAACATTCAACGTAATAAAAGGGTTTTATAGAGTTGAAAACTAAATATTCTTAACCAAGCATAGCACAATAAGCATCATTGACACCCAAAACTGCATGATCACAATATTCTGGTTCGAAAACTTTACATTTATCTTTACATGCTTCAGTTACGCATGTTGCATCACCAAATGATCGAAGAAAAACTGGTTGACAACGAAAACCAGAACAACATGAACAAACACATGATAATGCACTAGTTGGAGTTGTACCAGTTGTACGATGGGTTGTTGCTGTATGACGATGAGTTGATGCTGTATGATGATGAGTTGGTCGACCAGTTGATGTTGGAAAGAATTGACCATAAGTAGCAGCCAAACAAACAGCAAATAGACACGAAACGAATAATAAATAGTTCATGATCTGTACAAAAAGAAAATATGCAAAGTTTACGTACAATTATAATATGTCAGTTGTCATATCAAAAATCCTCGAATAGGAAAAGTTATCGAAATGATTACTATTAAACTTACTTTATTTTTTTTTTAATCAGGTCTCCTTGAGTATGTTTCGATGCTATGAAAGAAATAGTAGAAGCTATCGATTATATATATATATATATCTATGTATATTGTATTTGGTAAGTGATATGAATGTGAAAATGACCACATGCTACTTTGATTATTCGTTTGAATTTACATGGTACAAAATAATATTTACTTTCGATATCAATAAAGATAACAAAAGTCGAAAGATTGGTCGAATCAAAGAAAACAAACGCCCAATTCTTTTAATATGATCATTAAATTCATTGAAAAAGAATCAAATCATATGTTATTTTCTATGATTATTAAGATATGCAAGATAATCAAACTTTTCCTAATAAAGCACAACTGTTAATATTCGATCTTTTTTATTTTTTACGGAACATTAATAACAAAAAAAAAGAAAGATTTTTATTTCTTTCTACCAAAAACGAAAAATATACTATTATACTTCTATTAAGTGTGAATAATAATTATATTTTGATTTTAAAGCAAACACTTTTTATGTGAAATATTAAATTCATAAAGTAGATATGCGCATAATGAAAGGAATAATAATTTTTTTCACTAGAAAAAGTCTTCAACACATGAATTATTCTCTTTTTCGACTATTAATAATGGTTGGCATGTGATACATGAGAGGAGGATATATATATTTTGTTTTTTTTTCTATGTGGGGTATGATACTTGTGCATTTTTTTCCAAATATATACAGATGATGATTTGTCTTGTAGAAGAAGAGTGTATGCCCTTAACACTCACATTTACACTCCACACCTTCGACACGCCATTCGACTTCATATAATGAATATGAGAATGTCTGATTCAGACAAGGATTTCAGTCTATGACCTACTGGTAAGCAGTCATGGCTTTTTTTAATGAAAATTCCATTGAACAAGGTATTGTCAGAAAATTCTAAACAAATAGTTTTGATATGAAATTTTGCTAATAAGTAAATTTGATAGTCTCAAAATGTTCAACGAAAAACGAATATGTCTTTCTTGAAATGTTCAATATTCAAAAAAACCAGTAGCTTAAGGATACAGCAGTCGAGTCTGCTTGGAAATTCAATACATCGAGAAAGGCCTGATCATTTTCTTTATTGGTCTCAGAAACAATTTCATTACAACAGTCATGATTGTTTGTTAAGAGGTCATGGTGTCTTTTAACTTAGTCTTGCTGAGACCTGTCCATAGTCATAACATGAGGACGAGTGGTCTCCAATAATAGCATAGATTTTCTCATTAGCTTGAACTGAAAAAACCTCATCAAACACTAATAACAAAGAATAATTTAAATATTTGTTTTCAATTATTGAATCTTGTTGATGGAATTAGCGAAGGCAAAGCAATATCATTTTTTGCTCGAATTTCTTTGAAATTATTAACTAGATTTTGTGTCAACTTATCATAAACACAATGACGATGTCATAAATGATATATTAATACATTAAATGAAACTATTTGATGCCGACATGGTACATGTGATACATTTTGTTGACTATATCCTGGTAAATTAATTCGCCCATTAATAAAAGGACATAGAACTATAAAAATGATCAATTACATCTTCATTATAATTCTTTAAATGGAAGATTAAATTTTGCTCTACAACACTGGGTATTTATAACAGTTCTTTGTGGTTTATGCTTTCATATATTGATTGAAGAAACACAATATAAAGAGGAGTGAAATGATGTGCCAAGAATTCGTTCACCCACATTCATACTCACACACTACGTCGCAGCCCATCGATCGAATTCAATGAGGAAAAATCGATAGAGAAGATCATGGAGAATATTTGAGCTTGTAAATAGAATGTATGAGTCAAATGGTCGCCATGTTTTCTTTGTCTATGAAAGAGAAAAAGAAATCCACGCGTCATATTACAAGCATATCTGCAACTTCTTATCACTTTTCTGTGCAAATAGTCAATGATGGACATCTTGAAGCTGCAACATTCGCGAACTACAAATTGTAATCAAGAATTCGATATATATGGCGAGTATGCATTCGAGATACTATGCTCAGAAGAAGATGCTCGCGAATGTGCAAGATTGATATCTCATTCATTTTCTACTTCCAATCCCATGACCGTCTTTAAAGGTATATCAGCCGATGTATACTATGAAAATGTTGCTTTGCCTCTGATTATGTTCGTTATCGACCAACGACTTTCCTTATTCGCTCGACAACGCTCAACAGGTGAAATTGTGGGATGCATTATTGCTGGAGACTTCTATCTAAAATATCATTATCCTATGACTACCACAAGTGGTATTGCACACGAAGATTTAATTGTTGATCTTGATGAGATGAGCTATCAGGACTTCAACTCCGAAGAACAACTTACTCCCAATTCGGTATTACATTTTCTATTGCAGGCAACGAAAGTAGGTGAAGAAGGGAAAGGTGTGGCCAGTCGATTGATACAACTTATATGTGATTATGCTAGCAAGACAAAAGGTTTTAAATATGCACACGCACAATCATCGAATCCGGCCATGAGACACATTTATGAGAAGATGGGCGGTCAGGTGACATCACAAATCGATCCGACTACTTGGATGTGGAAAAATGACAGCAGCGATAACGCATATCCTTTCAAAGAATGGACTGCTGGGCCCCTTCCGAACATACGAATCAGATTGTGATCGATAGCAACATAGCTAAATGTTAATTGATTATTGCGATTTTGTGATAAAAGCGTTTATTTTATTTTATTTTGCTTGAAACAGATTGAAATTGAAGAGATTTTGAATTAATTGTCATAACTTTCCGTTTAAAAGACCAATTTTAACGAATTACGATTTTTTCATTAGAGTCATCCTTACACAACATCATCCTCGAAAAACGCATGTATATCTAAGAATCTGTCTTTCGTATTCAATATTTACTTCCAGAGTCGTAACCTTCTCTACATTTCTATTTTACGACGAGATGAGTTTGTAATGTATAATAGAGGGTGTGGATGTGGGTTAGGTGGAAGAGAAGATTCACACTCACACAACCACATCCTGAGCTTCTTCATCGATTTATAACACACAGAAGCTTGGAAAGATCTGTGTTGAGTGTAGGTAAAAAATATCTTGTTTCGAAAAACTCGAATTTTTCCATTTTTCCAAAATTATCGCTTTCGTAGGCCTGATATTTCAAAGGCAGAGTGATGAAAAAAATATTCTTTTTACCAGTTAACAGCCCATGAATTTCACTACAAAAAATGTTCTTATCATTTTCAAATCCCATGCTTCCTTTATTTTTTGCAATCATTCTCCAAATGGTCATTCCAGGAACCGACGAGGAAGAGCTAAAACAAATATTACCATTCGACTCAGTGTGGTGAATTACCAATGCCTAGCTGCAGGTCAATTGGCTGAAACTGAGAGACTTAGGAAAAGACTTACAACTCTCGAATGGAACAACCTATGAACGTCGGCCTTGCGTATATCGAAAGAGAAGAAATTTTTCTAACGATTAGTTCGACTAAAAGTGTAAACCAAAAAGAAAGTAGCTTGAGAATACCGTTTTCAAAAATCTCGACCAAGAACTCATCTGGTTGATCAGTTGTCGACTAATTTAATTTCGAGTACACTTCGATGATCTTACGTCTTCCTCTGCTGAATGAGGAAAACCGTAGGTCTATATGATGTTCCTATAAAAAGTGGTTCAAAAAATAGCGGAGCACATAAAATTTAGATATAGATAGCAGTACAAAAATATATAAAAGAACTTGATCAGAAATGCTATCCGAAAGTTATGAAAACCTTAGAACAAAAAAAAAAGGTATTAAGAAATTCTTCGACAGTAATTTTTATATGCAAATATATTTATTTAACTTCTTTCCTTATCGTCTTCTGATATTTTTCAGCATCATCTTCCTATCACTATTCATTACAGTGATGATAAGAGACTGAACAACAAGTAATTTAATGAAAGAGAGAATTAATTAACCAATAGATGTTTCGGTTCATGAATTCTTATACTTACTGTTAATGCATGTCGATAATGAAACATATTAATTGCAATGTACTACAGTGAATGAGAGACGTTGCTAAGATATCTGTCACGTCTGTGAAGAGTTCAGATTTCGAACTATATACTGATCGTATTTCAAAAAAAAAAGATCAAGTCTCTTACAATATTGCATGGCAATGCTATATCAAAAACAAAAATGATGCCGAACTTTTACTCTACCTTATGTTTCGAAGTACAAGCGACTAGTCAGTTGGAGAACTTTTCTTGTTAGTTTTCAACAGTCCAATAATCAAAATGTATCCTGTTCCATCATAATTTCTTTTTTAAATACATTATATATGATATCAATTATAAACTATATCTATAGAAGTTTTCAAAAGGCACTTTTTCATACTATTAATCAAAACTGATTGGTAGACATTCTTTTATTTTTCAAAGAATAGAAAATCACGTCAAATATATTAAATTGTTATGAATGATCGTGATTATGATCACCAATGTCAACAATTCGAAATGCTTCAAGAAATTCATTAAAATCAATAACACCATTCTTATCAAGATCAATACTTGTTGCTAAATCAATTATTTGTTTTTCATCAAATTTTGTTCCATTATGATTACCCAGAAATACACATACATCGGTAAATTCTTGCAAGGAAATAACACCTATATTAATTAATCAAAAATAAATAAATAAATTTTAGAAAAAAAAAAAAGAAATCAACAAATCAAAATATAAATTTTAACCTGAATTATCTTTATCCATAGCTCGAAAGACTGCTTCAAGTAAATCTTTATTTCGATAAATTGCTTGACAAAAACTTTGTCGTCTCTAGAATAAAAAAAAACAACCAACCAAGTAATCAGTTTGAAAACAAAAAAATAAAATCAAATATTGTTAACAAATTTACATTAAGAACTGGAGAATTCAATACACATTGTAATTCTTGTGAACGAAATGTTGATTCGTATAATATCAATCCATTTGAATCAATATCAACAAGACGTGATTTTAATGTTCGCCATGGTAATTGTAGTTCGAGAACTTGCGTGACGATTTCACACCATTCATTGAGAGCTATACAACCTAAATCAAATAATTAATATAGATCTTTTTATTAAGATATAATGACTCGAACATAGAAGATCAGAGGTTGATAATGGAGACTCGAGAAAAAACAAATCTTCACAATCAGTCTGACTTCGATGCTCTTTTTTCTAATTCCAAAAACAACGTAATCCTTTCTACTTGGCCATACTACTTTGTTTAGAATTAAATGCTACATTTGACAGCATCAGTTAGAAAATATGTTTTTCTTTCTCATGAAACGATAGAAGCAGTAGCCTGTGAAAAAAAAACGAAAATGATTTTGTTCCGTTCATTTCACGCTATCCATTAGTTATTTTTTAAATAGTTTTAGAGCAGAATGTAAAGAATCATTTATCGAAAATACCTGATTGATATATTCATTCGTTATTATTTACTGAAGCATTGACATAAAGTAATATCAATTGTTGAATTTCTGTAAAATAAAGTCCTCAGGATACATAGATGTCCATCGCAGCTAAAAATCTGCCGCTACCGCGATGAACATCTAACTACATACGAATGATCAGCGTCACTAAATAATATTCTTTTGAACTTCATAACTCACAACTTACTCCATATTAAACTGTCAGATTTTCTTAAGATGTACTGATTGTCGATTCATGATTTATATATGACAAGTTTGACAAATCTTTTAAATATTCATTATATTTCTTGAGTCTTTAAGGCGGTTTATACGTTTTGATATCATATTCAACATGATTTAATTTAGTTTACATATTAAAAGGAAGAAATTATCTTGTTTTTCATTATCAGAAAAAAATTTTCATAAAATCACTTCTTTTAATTATTATACTCTATCAAGATATGATTAAATTCTCTTTTTGTCTCTGTATTTACACATATATAAATAAGCGAATCTGATTTAGTGTATACGACTTTACTTGTGACTACCATTTCCTAGAAATTTCAGTTCAAAATTATGTTTTTGCAATGCCTAAAAATCTATTCATATCCTGCGAAAGGTAATTCCGTATTCTTCAGAATATTCTAGTTACAAGTAAACCCTGGCTATGAAAAAAAAAATTTCAAGTGGAAATCCATCATTCGATTTGTTGATGCCAGAACTAGACCTAAGATAATAAGAATTCTTATTTTGATTTTCGATCATCAAAGTATTGTTATCTTATAGCTAATTTATTTTCTATCATTTTCAAAATTCAACAACTAAAGTTTTTACTAATCAATTTGAATTTATTATTTTAATGAGACGTTCATTACAGGAAACAAATATAAATGAAAAAGAAAAATATACAAAACAGAAGTGAGCACAGAACAATGTTTTCTGTCCTATGCCCAGGTCCGTTAAGAAAAAATAAAAGATTTCTATTTCCTCATTCGAGAATGAAATAGATTTCAATATCTGAGATAATCTTCCAGGTATCATTAGTTCAATTCAAAAAAAAAACAGGATGGTAACTTTTGTCTGTAAATGCTAAATATCTAGCATCGTCATACGATGCTTCATTAAAGAAATATTGAACGGATAATCAATGCATTGCTTTTGACTTCCTGGAAGTTAGACAACCGGAATAAAACTCAGCATATTCATCTTTTGTTTGTTTAAAAAATTTCTAACTGTGAATTATAACGAAGAATATATAATAATTAATTCATTTTACTTACCAGCTTGATGTGGATCTTTAAGTCTAAATTCTTTCATAAGTCGACTTTTATTTGCACTAAATTTTTCCAGAAGATTTCGAAGAGCTTGTTCTTCGACATATGATACTCTATTTAGAAAAAATTAATACAAAAAAAAAAATCCATCTTCTTTAATACAAACCTTTCCCATATTGTTAATGGTTTAACTGTATGTTTTGTTCCCATAAATTGTACAATTGATGGTGGTTGATTTGTAGATATTCTTACATAAGCACCTCGATTACTACCTGCTGCATAATAATTTGATGCTGAAAAAATTGTTAAAACCTATAGATTAGATTTTTGAAAAATGAAACAAAAGTAAACAATTAAAATAAATAGAAAAAAAAAAAGCAAACTTTTTTATCATGACAATAATCAAAACCTTCTTCTTTACATTCATGTGATCGAATAAGTAATGTCCAATTATGTTTTTCTAAAATTTGATTTGTTACATCTGGTCCCCAATAACAACCTCCACCACGATATGTATTTGGTTCACAACCATTTCCTTGTTTTGGATCACTCCATAATAAATCAAGCATTTGTCTCCATTCGAGTAATTGTTCATTTGTTAAATCCTTTATTTGACATTGTTCCTCATTTTCTGGAATAACAAAAGTTGGACTTAAAATTGAAACATACTATAGAATAAGAAACCCATATATATATATATGAAAAATTCTTTATTCTCTTTTTTTTTTAATACAAACTTTATTTCGTTGAATTCGATTGATTTTATTTAAATCAGTTATATCACTAATACCTCCATGTGTTACAAATATACGATCATCAATAAGACTTGCAATAGGTAACCAACTGTAGATATTTTCAAATAGATGAAATATTTTTGTAGATTGAGATTTATATTTTTTAATAATTTCTTTCATAAAACCATATCTTTAAATATAAAGATTAGTTCAAAAAAAGAAAAGAAAAATTTTAATTAGAATATTTTATTAGATAAATATGAAAACAAATAAAAATTGAAATATATTGTTCAGAGACGAAAAATGTTCAGCATAATCTTCGTAAGAGAGATTTTAACAATATGACTAATATGTGTACTCATGCAAAATTAATTCAAAATATCCGGAAAGAAGAAAAAATTGAAAGCAATAGTTTAAGTGTGAAATACTCAGAATACTTAAAGGGCTTATATTAATACTCAATTCTACATTGATAGAATCAAATTTTTGAATGTTAAATTCGAGAATATACATTTGATGAGTACTAAGGAGTAATATCAAAAGTCTAGAATGATTTAATTTTTTGAGCCTTCAGAAATTTTACTAGTTTAGTTGTGCTTCCTCCCTCCGATCACATTCAAACTTAATGCGAATAAAGTTCTATACTTACGTGTAAAAGTATATTTTGTTCATATTATTTAAACATCCAAAAAAGAAAATACTAGTTGAGCGATCAACTAATCTTATTAAAAATTTTGTTTGTACAAAGTTTAAAGTCGAAATTCTCATATGAATTAAGGAGGAGCACAACTTTTTGTTTAACATCACCTTGAGCGTAAAGTGGGGAGAGATTCCTTCGTTAGTTTTGATTTAAGGTATCGCTCATATAGAAGATTGATTACTGTAGAACTTTCTATCGGATTCTCTGCTATATTGACTTGTGCTATGCGATAGAATAGGACATATGAAGTTCTTATTTTTATTTTCACTACTATAAAACGGATATCGAGTTAAAAATAATACAAAAAAAAAAAGATGTGGTCTAATTTAATGAAAAATCTAACTTATGACCCTATTCAAAAACCTGGATTTTTTGAAAAATTTGGAAAGAGACTCTGAGAAAAATTGTGGTATACACGATTCGATGTAGCTATTTTTTTTTTGAAATGAGTATTAGTTCTAATTTAAAGAATCATGTTTTACTACTTGTGGAAATAGTTTATATTCAATGTATTGATCGAATTATGTTCGATGAACACTGAAAACTTTTTTCTTATTGAGTTTTTCAAAAGCTTATTAATGAATCAATTGTTTCCTTGTTTCTCGTATTGGGTAATAGTCCTAGGCAAACTTTTTTTTTTCATACGCTATAGAAATATCTTGAGGTCTTTTGACGAGTTCAAGTTGTACAGATTAACAACATAGATCCGTTCCGATCGTAACCTAGCGATATTAAATAATAGAGTGGATCGCAAAAGTTTAAGACACGTTTATTTTTAAAGTTTTTCATCGAAGATGAGTAACTAGGTCAAATCCAAATAGTGATTTGGATAACTCTTGAAATTGTCTATCGAATAGAATATGTGTCAAATTTTCAAAAGAAACTTTGCCAAGAAAGTTTTCCAGAGAACCGTGCCAAGGAGATTTCAAATCCTAGAGGATTTTGATAGAAAGATTTTTCAATGTAAGCATCTCAAAGAGCAGAAAATTCTTAACAAATTCAAGGGTCACCCAGGTCTCTACAATAAGTTATAAGCATTAGAAAAAACGAAAAAATGCAGTTTTAATCGAATTTTAGGGCTTTTTTTGGTAAATGTCGACGAAAAATGCGTTTTCTCTAATGCTTATAACTTTGTGAGGGAATATCGTACAGAGCTGGCCGATCTTTCATTTTATTGAGAATTTTCTGCTCTTTGAGATGCTTATATTGAAAAATCTTTCTGTCAAAATCATCTAGGATTTGAAATCTCTCTGGCACGGTTTTCTGGAAAATTCTCTTGGCAAAGTGTCTTTTGAAAATTTGACATATATTCTATTCGATAGAGAATTTCAAGAGCTATTCAAATCACTATTTGGATTCCACCTAGCTACTCATCTTCGATGAAAAACTTTAAAAATAAACATGTCTTAAACTTTTGTGGTCCACTTTATGCCTGCTGAATCTCATCATTTATCACAACGATGAAAGAATAATCTGTAATGCATGAAATTATTTTTAATTAAATGTTATATGAACATTTCAATTTTATTTTATAACAAAGACTACAACAGGTAGGTCATAAAGGAATCTATACAAGCAATTAGATTCAGACATCCTTTATGACAGAGAACACTCTTTTATTCTAATTGATTATTTCAAGTGTTCTTATTTATATGATGTTCATAAATGTATTGCATGAATTAATTTAGTTGTGTTTATAACTTAAGTACCTATTCATGAAAAGAAAGTCATACTCTATGAACGCATGTTGAGGTCATGTAAAAAGTTTTTTAGTTTCATTCTGCTGTACTTACTCCTACTTGTCATATACAGTATTACGACATTGTTATTAGTCAAAAGAGATCATTTAAAAGATCTAATTTATTAACGGAAAATACTTATATGTAAACATGTCAAAACCTGTAAAATATTACAGACTTAACGTTAAAAAAACTTAAAATTTTTGTTTTTTTATGAATTAATTTTATTCATTTATTAAATAGAATAGATGTGAACTTTAATATATTTACCTTAAATTTAATACATGATCTTCATGATTACCACGATTAAAATAAACATTATTTGGATAGATAATAAATGCTACACTTATTAGAATAAATATTTCCATACTTTGAGTACCTCGATCAACTATATCACCATTAAATATATATGGATTTTCATTAGATGGTAAACCATTCTAGATAAAAATAATTAATAAAAAAACAAAAACAAAAACAAAAATAAAATATTTAATAAAATTACTTTGTGAAAAATAAGTAATAAATCAGATAAATTACCATGTAAATCACCAACAACTGTAACACATGTCGATTGATATGTTGAAACAACATTAACATTTGGTAAACGTTTAAGAATACGACGAACTTCATGTAATATTAATAAAACATATCGAGCATGAAGAGTCTTCAAAAAAACAATATATATATATTAATTATTTATATTACAGATTGATTTAAAATTGTTTTGTTTTGTTTTTGCTCAAATCTCTGATTTTATAGATTAGATTTAATTATGTACGATACCTCTCCCCGTTGGAAGGCACCAACTAAGGATTCAAGATGTCCTTTAGTAATAGGAAGTTGTATATGTTGTCCTTTATACGATGATTCAATGTTGACTGTTTCTGGTGCTGTTGTTTGTAGTAAATCGAGTTCTTCAGCTAAAAGTAACTTTTAAACTTTGGAACTTTTTTTTTTTCTAAAGAATAAATACCTGTGCTTGATAGACTCGAAGTACGACGTAATACTTTAGCAATGACAAGAGCATCACGTGGATTTTTTGATACAGCTTGCATAAGATCCAGAAAGAAATTATAGAGCTATTGAAATGTTTTTTTTTAATTTTTTGAAAATAAAAAATAATATAAATGATTACTTTAAGTTGATCTTGTTCTCCAGCATATTCAATATTTTGATAGATTGTCCATGCAGCTTTTCGACGTATTTCAAAAAGAGCTTGTCGTCGTCTAAACCATGATTGAATGATAATAACGGCAGCTAAAGCTATGAAAAAAAAACATAATCATTAGCATTTTTTTTTTACAAAAAAAAAAAAACAAACTTACTAATGTCTGATTTCTTTTTTCCTCTAGTTTTTGATGGAGGACGTGATTGTGGTTGTTCAAGAGGTGCTATACTTCGTTGAATTTTGTATGTTTGAGGACAACAAAAACATATCCAACGTTCAGAAAACATTTCCTTTTTTTTTTTTTTGTTTTCAATCGATCATACTTTCTACACGTTAAGATCGGCTTGCTTTTTCTTTTCTTTCAAAAGTAAAATATATTGCGTATTTTCTTTCTTTCTGTCTTCTATTTCAAAATCTACTAACGATAATCTTTGTCTGTGGCTTCCTTTTCTTCTTCGTCTAACTCATCTCTTTCAACATCATTATTCTCACCGTTTTTTCTTCTCATTTTTTTTTTCTCTCTCTCTCTTTTTGCGCACACTCATGAAATAAATTATATGGGCACGGATGAACATCGTAGACACACATGCCGCTTCACTGTCATTTCTTGATAAAGAGTTTTCTTTACTTTTGACGTAATATGTTGTCTAATAAGTGAATCTATACATTATGTTTTTTTTTTCTTAAAAAAAAAATAATTAATTAAATTCATTTTAATATTATAATTTATTTTTCTAATAAAAAAAAAAATTCTCGATTGAAATATTTCGAAGATTTTGCTTCCATTGAATATAAATAATTCAACATGATAAAGAATACCTATAAATATATTTGATAAAAACCTAGAAAATCGATTAATTTCACAAGACAATATCAAGTATTATTTGACCTTGAAGTGCATTGATTAACATAATTTCTTTGACATGTTTGGTTTTTTTTTTCTAAAATCTAAGTCAAATATTTAAGAATTCGATAAGAACTGATAGAAACTGTTATAACAATTAAAATGATAAGTTTTGTTTTTGCCTGAGTATGTTGTCTAAAACAGACAAGGGTATGCCGAGGTCGTGAGGATTAAGCATTTTTTTTTGTCGGAATACGTGAGTAATGAAAACTGCTCGAACTTCGCCGGAGAAAAACGACAATTTTTCAAGATTACGGAAGTGACGCACCCGTGCTCACGTCACCTCTGAAAATGAGTTTATCTGATTATTCTTTGGATTGTGATTAAGATCAAAAAGAAGATGAATAAAGCCGTAAAAATCGAATGTATTATATTGTAGAAAGCTTTCGTGCAGATTTTATTTGACTTTTATTATAGATGAAAATAGCATAATGCTCTATAATTTTATTTTTAATTTCTATAAAAACAGTATTTGTATATCCCATAGGAAATTATTTTCTTATTACTTGTTCGGATAATTATTTTCCATTTGGAATAGATTTTAATTTTATTTGATTAAATATTTGTTGTTGTTTTTTTCAATGGATTTGAAATATCATTATGAAAATTTCAAGTAGGTAAATAGACTGATTAAAACATTGTTATGTAATGAGAATTTCGAAATATATATATATATATACTAATTTGCTGATTGTACCAATGAAATCGATGTGTTGGTATCAAAAAGTAAATTTTTATGACGTTCTTCAAATTGTTCGTCGAGTTGTTTCCTGTAACAGGAAAGCTAATCTATCTTCATTTAGATCTACTATAGGAAACCATATATTTAATAATTAAAATAATGACTTGCTGATGATGTTCAGGTGTTCTATTACAGTACTGATATTATTGTTTCTAGTGTAGTATCATTTACGTTGCTACCTGTGCAGGCGTTAGAAATATTATAAAAATAATATATTAAGTCGTGTCATACGTGCAAAAAAAAATTAAAAATAGTAAAAGAGAAAGATAAGAGTGAGATAGATAAATCTGAAAGTAGACCAGCTGCATACAACATGAGATTATCCTTCGATTTTTTTTAACATGTAACGGATAATATGAAGTTCATTGTAGAAATTTTTAGCAATTGTTAAAGGTCATGTTATAAACTGAACTCTTGTCTTTAATGAGATTGAATTTTCGGTAATAATTAATTTGATATTGTTGAAAGTCTAATAATGATGAACATATTTTTTCCTTTTTTTGGACTTTTGAAACGATGTTAGACTCTTGATAGTATGAACTTTTATGATTCTATATGAATATCATATAGCCGGAGATATTTATCATGTAAACCAATTGCTTCCAAGCACTATAAAACTCAGTCACATGGAAAATCAAACAGGTAGCGTAAGATTTACAAATGATAAAAGTTGTTTTGACTGCTCGCTAATTTACGGATCATAAGACTATATGTTCAATTTAACAACAACAACAACAATACATTTCTATTATTGCTATACATGATGGCTGCTTGTTAAATAGCTTGATTTTGAAGAGTTATTCCTATATTAAGGGTGAAAAAAGTAGATCTCCATGCGTCGCAGATTTCTCTTCTAAATCCAATGATACAGATCTCGAGTTGCCGTCAAAATATAGCCAACACTTGCCACTACAACTGACCAGAGCCCGATTTTTCAAATTCTTCTTTATAAATTTTTGGCATTAGATTTTCCTCGAAAAAAAACAGAGATATTCCTGTGAAAAAAGGTCCAGGTTTCTTAAAAACTAAGTCAAAAATAAAAAATCTATGGAGCACAATTTTCTCTTCAATTAAAAATCTTTCCAAGCTCTCTAGCATGCAAAATAACTGAGAAATCTGGGGCATCCGAAAAAACAAAAACTAGTTTTGAGAAAAATGCAAAACAAAGTTGAACTATAGAAATTCAGATTTTTTTCTCTCGTAGAGTGATTCATGATAGATCACATGGAGGAGATGTATAAAGCACACTTGCTAGAGCATGTGGAGTATGTTCTCAGAATCAGAAACCTACAGGCAAAGTTATAGGGCTTGAAAAACTAAAATTTTTCAAATATCTTCTGCTTGTGAATTTTTCACAAAATCTATTGACAATCGTGAAAAAACTATTAGAAAATCTCTCGCAACCATCGTAAAAATTAAAAATAATAGTGATTTCGAAAGTAGAAAATAAGGACTATATGACCATGTAGAAAGCTCAAAAGTCGATATTTTTAACAGGAGGTCTTAACTGATGTAAAAGAACATTACAGAAGTCCAGTTTTGCAAACAAAATTGATTATCCCTTTGGTTACAGGACCTGTATATATGCAAGTCGAGCTTTGCTCGAATTAGTTCTCTTTCAGTCTACCCTACAAGAGTTATACTTGCCAGTGCAACGAGAAGCTGTAAATCTTGAGATGTACTACAGTAGCTACTACATGTTACGATCGGGTAGAACTATCCTATATCGTAACTATGCATGCGTTCATCCTGTTTCCAATCTTTTTTTTTGCTAGTAGAAAAAACATGCCGTAAACAAAGAGTTAGTTAGACAATAAACTGGAATGGGTAAGAACCAAAAAAATATCTTTCGAAAAACTATTTCCTTAATTGACAGTGTATTTCATCTTCAGAATATTAATTTTTCTCATAATGCACAGTTCATTATGATCGATTGATCAGGATAATAGCATACTTTGCTTTGTATCAGGCTTAGAAACGAGCCACCCGGCCCGATGATTTTATCTTTTTTTGATATTTAACTCACTCCTGAGGGGGGATAGGGGAAAAATTCTATGAACAATTTACTATTTATTTTAATTCTTATATGAAATCATCTATTTTGTGAATCTATATAAATTTAAATAATATTTCGTTTTTTTCTTTAATCTTTTATTAAAACTATCAACATAGAAAAGAAAAATAAATTTTTTATTTATAGAAAATATCTGATAAAAATAATGATTATATATCAAAATATGCTTGAATAGCCCAATGATCCGAACAATAACGTTTTATTGATGGTAATTTTTCAAGACCTTCAAGTTCAAAATAAGTTGGTTTAAATTGTATTGTATTTTGTTTTGATGGACGATAATAAAGACGATCAAAACGTGCTCGAGGTCGATAATTATTCGATGGATAATAAACATTTGTATTTCGATTCATATCCCATGTATATGCACATTCTTTCCGTTTACCTGTTTCAATCCAAAGATCAATAATACCTAATGGTATATTACCTGCTTTTTGAAGCTAAAATTAATTAGAATTTATTTAGTAATAAATGCAACAAAAAAAAGATAATTTTATTTTTATTAGACTCTAATGTTTATAAATTGCAAAAGAGTTTATAAAGATTTCTCTTGAGCATATAAATATCAAATGAAATAAAAAATCAATGTCATAATAGATCATCTAATGTAATTTCATGTGTTGGTTCCGAATATACCATTGGTATTCAATAGAAATGCTTTGAAGTCGGGAAAAAAAAGAAGTTTAGTGGAAAACTCACTGTACGGTTTATACTAACTGTGGTGATATAAAACATTCTGATGCGGATTTGAATTGGCGAACATTTGTTTTATTGAGCTTACAAGGAAATTTCTTTAGCTACTCCCATAAGTTAAGAAAAAAAAATTTATTTTTTTCTGAAAAATCACACATGCAAATTAAAAGATTTCTTCTATGATTAATATCAGACGGCATGCAAATTGAGCACATCTACTGACCGTATCTACCAAGTAGTTTAATTTTATCAAAAAAAAACAATCGATTTTCTCATCCATATCAATATTTTCAGGCTAATATTTGAATTACAATTGTTACACTCTACTTAATCTCCTCCTGTATCCCAGAGATATCCATCGCGGTTGAAAATCTGCCGGTGCCGCGATAGTTTTCAAAAAAGTGTTTCTAACTTCGCTGCTGCGATTGTATTTGACCAGGAATATTGGTACTACCTTTCTTCAGAATTTTCAGAAAATCAGTTTTCAAGAGGAGGTTTCTTGAAATTCGATTTTGTTAAAACTTTCATTATAGATACGATTCATACCGTAGACTCCATCAAATGATAGATGGGTATGTTCCATTTTGCTTGAAATGACCGGTATGTAGCCGAAAAAAATTTAAGAATTATAATGGCAAAGATTCTTACCTCTTTTTCACGTATATTCAAATCACCACCAAATAAAACAATTCGATTTGATGGTGAATCAAGCATATATTTAAAACATAATTTTAATTGTTCAATACGTTCTTTACTTGCTATCTCTTCTGTACCACTTTCATGATGAGATGTCATTAAATCAATTTCAATTGAATTTTTATATATTGTCTATTGAAAACAAAAATGTCTAAGTATATTAATAAATAAATTACAAAAAGTTTTTATACATGAGCTATAAGTAAATTTCTTTCCATGTTTGTTCCTGGATATGTTATAATATCGATATTTTGTACTTTAAATAATTCACGACGAGTTAAAATAACGACAAAATAACCTTGAGTATTTCCTATAAGAATAAAATTACCTAAGATTTTATTAAAAGACAAGAAAAAAAAACATTATGAATTAACCAGCATATGAATCATATTCAGGTAAAAGATTACGAATTAAATCAAATGCTTTTGGAATAACTTCTTGAAGAAATACAGCATCTGGTTCTTCTCTAGAAATTAAAAAATCTATGAAAAACAAAAAAAATAATTTTGAAATTCAAAAATTATTACCGTTTAATAACATCAATAACTCCTCGTGTTCGTATTTCAATTGTATTTTCTTGTTCATCAAGTCCATCAATATTCCATGAAAGTAATTTAAAATGTGTTTGAACTTTTGTTTTATCATCTTTCGATTCTGTTACAACTGTAGTTTCTTCAGATTTTATTCGTTTTAAATCTAATTTACTATAGAAAAAAAAATAAATAAATAAAAATTTTTCATATTAAAAAAAATAAATTAACTAACGATGGTTGATTTCGATTTTTCGATGTTGATTTATCATTTGTTAAATCTTGATAAGCATTTATAGCACGTTCTAGATCCCATCCATTATTTTGTAACATCATCATAGCTAAACCTGTATCTGTATTTGTTACTGAAGCAAATTGTTTACATGCCGCTAATGCTTCTGCACCACTTAATGGACAATCAACACCATCATCATCATTATCCTCACTTGATGAAGTCGATGGTTGACGTTTAAGTACAGTAGACATTATTCAAAGTAATAAAAAAAAATCTCAACTAGTAAATTTCTATATATCTATTGAATCCAATATATATATCATAATGAATTTTGTAAGCCAATAATATTTTAAAACTTTGAAAACATCATTGACTAGCGACCTCGCTATGTTTATTTAAGAAAATCATCTATTCAAGTATTATAATTAAGCAAGTAATAATCAATAAAGATTTTTTAAAAATAGTTTACGAATCTATTGTAATCAATAATGAAGCAAATGTGAGAAAACATATTCAATCGTTTAATAATAGCATTTTTCTGTTGTTATATATCCAATGATTTCGAGATTAAGAGTGGCTATCAAAATTAATAAAAATGTTAAATTTCGTTGAAGTCGGAATGATGGTGAAGAATTTTTTTTCGTAACCAATATCTGAATAATATCAGCAAATCAATCAAATATTTTTACTCTTACTTAGATATGTTAAGTAACGAACAAAAATATGCTACTTTAAAGATTCTTAAGTTTCAGGAAAAAAACTATCAGAGAGAGATATTCTTAGGGGGTGCTGCATTAGCATTGCATCAATATTTTAATGCTAACATCAATCTTTTTTGTTCCAATCCTAAGACAAAAGTATTACACTTGATACTGATTAATGTAACCGTTAAAGTGAAGCAAGATTCCTATAATATGATATTCTTATTAACAAGTAGTCCAAAAAGAAGTATTTTGACAAACACATAAGATTATGCAAAAAAAATGCCAATGTCAGAATTTTAAATCTTTTTTCTTTCAAATCAAAACCTATAAATTACTGATAATCATTTGAACATCTGTTTGCATATAAGATTTTTATCATTTAACAAGTAGGACAAAAGAAAAAAAAAGAACCATTTATCAAAACCAAATATACGGGAATATGACAAGTGTCTGGTCTATATTATATTATGATTCTCCAATGGGAATAAGTTAGTTGAAAATGAAATACTTTATTTTCTATAAAAAAAAAAAAGTAATAAAAATCACATTTAGCATCATATTAAAAATGTGTATGATCCTAATTTATTATCGGTGTAAGACCGACGACAATAAATGACTTTTATCTTCATTTCTTTTCCTTTTTTTTTCTACTCGTTTTTCATATTAGTAGAAATGATAAATATTAACGACATTAGATATTCTCATGAGATAAAATCAAGGTATATTTTGTTGCTATATCTATTTCACATTCATCAACAATTTCATGAGTCTATTATATTTTATGTTAATGTTGTTGATCATTAAATAAAGTTTTTTTATGTATGTATATATATATATAGTAGTTGTTATTGATTTCATTTATTCACTATGTTAA